CCTCCTTCCCCACCGCTGCTGCCCAAGCGACCGCGTTGCCGAGGGTGGAACTGGGGCGGGTGAGGTCGCGGTAGGCCTTGAACATGTGGTGGTACCTGCATGCATGGGGAAACACGCGACATGGTTAGGCTCGAGAGTGACCGCGTTCGTGTCATCCTGGGGGAAGAAATGTTGATCACACGGCCGTACCTGTCAACATTGCCGCAAAGGTTGCGGAGGTGCATGGTGGTGAATAGCCTGGTACACATCGTCCCGGCCGCGGAGATGTCCTCGGCCCACTCACTCTTCTGCTGCACATTCAGCTTGAGCCCGGGGTCTATCTTCTTGTCGTAACACATGACCGCGATCGCGGTCAGGTACTGCACCTCTTGGTAGGAGTGATGTCCCAGCCAGCGACGTCTCCCCCCCAGCCACGGTTCGCCCACCATCCCCTCTCCACCCCTGGGCGGAGGGCGGATACCACAGCCCTTGCGCTTGCCGCTAGTGCCGCTGGTGTCGCTTGGCCCCATGAACCTCTGCAGCACCAGCTCAACCTCATCGTCCGCGTCCGAGTCGTCGTCGTCGTCGTGGTCCGCCTTCAACGCGGCTGGAGGCGGCTTACAACCACCGCGGCCCTGATTCTTCGCCTTTACATCTGCAGAGGGGGGGATTGCAGGGGCGATGGAGCTGGGTCCAGGCTGTCCAGGCGCGACCGCGGCGGTGTTGCCTGCCGCGGGCACTATCGCGGTGGTGAGGGCGGTGGTGGTGGGGGTGGTGGTGGGCGGGGCGTCCTCGACCTTGGCCTTGCCTTTACCAGCTTTCAATTCCGAGGTGGCAGGCGGTGGTCCCGCAGCCGCATCCCGCATGGTGGTTCCCCCGCAGCGCACGACGACCGCGCCCCCCTTCTTAAGGAGATCGCTGACGCTAGTCGCCGCGGGACCTTTCTGCCGCTTCCCTCCCCTGCTGCTCTCACCCTTCACTGTGTCCGCGACCCTCTTACCTGTCTCCTTGTCCGCGGCCTTCTTCCCTGACTCCTTTTTCCCCGTTTCTTTCTCCGCGACCCTCTTCCCTGCATCCTTCTCCGCGACCTCGTCAGACACCTTCCCCTGCGGCCCATCAGTGACTTGACGCGGAGCGTCACGACCGGAGAGCATCGCGATGATGATGTTGAGAGAGTTGGTGACGCCGCTTGTGGTGATCGCTTTCTCGGCGGTTCCCGCGATGTTGGATGACGCGCCGTCGATCTTACGTGCGACCTCGTCCGTCAGCTTCTTCTGGGCGTTCTCCATGGAGTCCACGACCACCCTCTTCATGCTGGCCGCGCAATCTTCCAAGCGGACAGCAGCGCGTTTCAGCACCTCACGCATGTCGCGGTTCTCCGCCCTGTCCTTCGCGGCCAGCTGGGCTTCCCTGCGTATCACCCGTTCCGTGTTCCGCACGTGAAGCAGCGCCTTCTCCACCGTGGCCATGAGCTCGTCGTAGCTCTGCGTGATCACCACCGCGGGTTCTGTACCGGGCTTCGCGGACACGAGCTCGTCCAGCTTGCGCTTCTGATTTTTCACATGCTCGTCCAAGCGGAGGATCTCCGCGGCCAGTTTGGCAGGATCCATCTTCACCAGCTCCGAGTGTTTACGCTTGCCCGCGACAGGACTCTTGCCCGCATACTCTGTCGACGGGGTCGCGCTACCGTGACGGGGGGACAGCACCGCCTGCAGACCGCGAATACTCTTCCCTGCACCCGCAACCGCACTCGCCACCCGCCCGGCATTGTTGGCCGCGACTTCCTCCACCTCTTCCTCCTCTTCCTCATCCTCTTCCCCCTCCATTTCTTCCGAAGCCTCCAGCTCCAAATCACCGCGCTGGTCATCCTCCGCGGCATCCCCTTCGTCCTCTCCGCGACCCTGTCCCCCTGCCTCGTCTGCCTCCTCCAGCGCGTTCTTGTCACCTAAACCCTGCGGCGCGTTCACAGGGGCGTCCTCGTCGCGGTCAGAGCTAGAGCCCTCCTCCTTGTCCGGTTTCTCCTGCTCCCCCTCCCCTTGCTCCCCCTCCCCCGCGTTCGCGAGCGCAAGAGCTGTATTGAGCCCTGGAGCATCGCGACCCGAAACATGTGATCCCCCCGGCTGTTCGTGCGACCTCACACGTTCATTGCCGTGAGCATCCCCCCCATGGCCGTCCGCGATCCCGCACCTGGACCTGAACGCGAGCTCCTCCGCGGCGCGTTTTGCATCCTGCCGCAATGTGGTCAGCGTCCTGGCAATTGGCTTGGCGATGCGAGGCGCAGGGTCGTGTCCAACAACCGCATCAAGGTCGTTGAGTACTCTGTCGAACGCGTACGCACATGCGAGTGGACCGCAAGGGGCCTTCCAGGAAGAGATATCCTGAAAAGGAAGCCGTGAAGATGGCGTGTAGAGTTCAGGCTCTGCGACATAACAAACGCGACCAAAACAAACGCGAAATTCCACATACTCACCAGGTCCACGAGGCGCGACGGATCTCCCAGCTTCCCAGCGCGGTCGCACTGGACCGAAACGCTCCCGTAATAGAGGCAAACGCGACCGTGAAACCACCTGCACGGTTCAAATGATATCTCTCAGACAGGGAAGAATAGTAGTAGCAACCAAAACGGAAGAATAGCACTGCTAGTACAGACTTACTTGACAATCTTGTCTATCGCGGTAAGATGCTCGGCCGCGGCAGTGGGGTTACAGACGCGGACAAAGCGAGTTTTCCAGGGTGATGTCGCGTCAAGCCCCAGGTGGTCCGGTCGCAAAAGCAGCAACATGCCCGCGTTGGAGGCCTTCTTGTCAGTCATTTCCCTGACATTATAATATGACACAAAACGACTCGCGTCAGCACTTATCGGCAAACCCGTACGCAAAACACAACCAGCCCACAACTAGTCCCGCTGTACTCACCCGGGCCAGATGCAGAACGCGACCAGCTTACATCCAAGCAGACCGTCAAACGCCACGTGCGCGGCCTCACCACCCGCGACGATGTCCGCAACAACATTGGAGGGCACCACCTGTATCGCCTCCTGGAGCGACGGGGACACGCACTTCCGAACTACCACGCTGTACGGGAAACGAGAGAACATATGGCCACATAATCATCGCGGTCGGGGTGTTATGCGGGCGTAACTAGATAAGCCAGTACATGGAACAGTAGTCGCGATGTATGTGGAAACGAACCCGAAGGGAATAAATGGTCTCGCGAACGGAAGCAAGGGGTCAGATGATGGCTCGGACGGTTTTTTTCTTGCTGGCGAATTTGTGAAGCGAACGCGATGCACGCGACCGCGATGCGACCCATGTGGACGTCCTAAACAAGCAGCACAAAGCCGCGATGCGACCCAAAAAGGCATCCTAAACCAGCCATCCATCCCAAGGTAGACTTACCAGGCGAGAAAGTCGAAGGAGGTCGCGGTGAAGGGATGCTTATCATCGGAGAAGCACTTCCTCTGCTCGGGGGGGAGCTCCACAGTGGCGCTAGCGATCGAGATCGTAGTAGTGTAAGTAGCGCCCTGCTCGCCACTGTTCAACAGCGCCTTCAGTTCGCGACCGGCCATGGCGGGGGCAGAACGCGTGCAAACGAGGATAACCGGGCACGCGATACCCCTACGAGTTTATGCCCTCTACCTAAACGCGAACGCGACCACAAACGCTACAGCTCGAAAAAGCGCTCGCACCGAGAGGAAGGCGGAGAGGACTAGCAGGATGACAAAAGGAAGGGAACCAAAGTGAGAAAGGGAAAATGAGCAAGTGAAACCCTGTTGCAAGGGCCTAATAGGGGACGGGTCGCATCCTGGATGGGGGCAGCGCGAGCAACAGGCAGGGGGGGGGCACTGCGCGTGGTGGGGACGAACCCGCGCGCCCCTTCGGACATCCCGACGCGGGTGCGTTCCCGTCCATGCATGCGGGGTGAACCACGTCCCGCCATGTAGCACTCCGAACGCGGACTGCATGCAAGGGGCGACGGTTATCACCTCGGGCGGGGTGTATTCCTCGACGCGTCCGCCAAAAAGCAGGGTAACTATCTGAAACTACCACTTTTTACACACACAAATAATACACTACACGCGTGCAAAAAAATGTAAATCGCGTTTAATTGACTTGTCAAAACGCACCACGCGTGTCACTCGAAAACAAAGTGTGTGGGGGATTTTAATTCGCAAAATAAGTGAGGGGGGTAATTAGGTCTAAAGGGAAATGTCATGTGAAAGACTGTATACCGTTCAATCGCGTTTACAGTTTGCGAATAAATAAATAAGTGTAACAACAGTAAGTTGGGTGAACCCTCTCCTGAATTGCGGATGATTTATGGGCGAACCCCGGCTACCCTTCGCACGCGCGAAGAGTATTTCGCGGTGGGCATGCGAACCAGGGATCCGGAAGAATCCGTCTCCGATTGGACGGATTCGTTCCGGCGCGCACAGGCGACGCTTCGCACGAGCGGCCACGAGTGCGAAATTGTTTCACTGGGCCCCTGCCCGGGCCACAAGCCCATCGGAAACGGCTCCGATTGGCCGGATCCGTTTCGGCGCGCTGGGGTTCGGCCCTCGCCCTCGGATTGGAGAGCGAGGGGTTTCGCGAGCCAGGGCTGGGCCCGGGGGGGCCCGGGGTTGGGACCACACTGCGTGGCGCTGGCGTGGCCCGGGCTCGGCGCGGGACCACCCCGCCAGCTGACTCCGCCGCCCGTATCTCGCTAGGGACCTGCATGCGGGCGGGCAACTCCCTCTCGCGTGCAATTCCCAGCTGGGGAACGCGACAGGCAGTGCATCCGCGTGCGGCCCTGGTGGGAACTCGGTTCCACCAGGAGGGGGACCTGGTGGAAACCGAGCCACCAGGGCCCGGATGGACTGGGTGCAAGCAAGCAATGTCCCTGTCACTCTGCACAGGACTTTATCATCGATCCAGCCACGCTGCATGCCACATCGTTCCAGCATCCCATGCAGAAGCCTATGCTCTATCGTACAGCCCCCCATGGCTTCTCCCATGCCTCACTTCCCTCTCATCCCCCAGGAGTCTAGAGTACTTGACAGCATTCACAGGGGACTTGTCCTCCCTGCACATCCTTTCTCAGCTGAGAAGCCTTCAGCAGCTGTAAGCATCATTGCAGCGAAAGAACATATCGTGGCCGGATCCTGTTTCTGTTCTTAATCTGCATTTGAGGTGGTGTGGTCTATACCTTCTCGCAACTGGCAATGGTAGTGCGCCCAATTTTGCTAAATTCACGCGCATGAACGCAGGAAACTCAGTTCGTTCACCAACGCCACAGGGGAGATACCCAGAGAGCTCCAGTACATGACTGCCCTCACTTCACTGTAAGATCCACAAACTCCAAAGGTGGGACAGATGAAGCCAGTTTGAGTTTGTTCGTGTCCAAAGGTACCAGGGAGGGACACCAAAGGTCCCTGATGTAAGATTGACACCTCCCCGCCCCCTCGTCGGACATGACTGTCCGCACGGCACTGCAAGCTGCACAAAGTCCAAAGATGGGACATTGTCGCGCTGTTCAGCACCGGCGCAGCTCTGGCACGTGCTGAAGTAAGGAACGTTTCAATTGCCATTCGTTTCTTTGTTTACTTTATTTTCTGTCAAACTGTTGTACTGTACTACATCATCGAGGGGATGCTTCATTTATCTAGGTTAGAGCCAGAAGCTGGTGGGCGGTCATCCAGGGGGTTGGAGGAAAACGCGGGCCTTCTCCTTGACGAAAGGCCACGCAACCCAGGCTAGGCAGGCAGCCTTACGGACTAGCGGGACAGGGAGGAGTGAGCGTAGGAGGGATCTTGGTTTTTGCTTCTTTGTTCCTTTCGTACCGTAATTTGTCTTCCTAAACACAAAGGCAAGCAGTGGCTAGGAGCTTGGGGAAGGGCCAAATCCCGTTGAGAACGTGCGGCTCAAGCTGTTCCCCGACAAGAGACAAAGCAAGTTCATTCATGTGCATGAACACCTGTCCATCCCTTCGCCTTTTGACTGCAGCCCTATTGGCTTGCCTCTTTAGAAATGACACGCTCTTGTCTCTGCAGGGATCTAGCTCTTCTTCGTGCCGTGGAGTTTCCCATTTGGGTCACTCAACTCTCCAACCTTCAGTATCTGTGAGCTCCTCCTACTTTGCTCTCGTTCTCCACCATTTCCACACGCTGTATCCCCCATGAGGCACGAGTAGAACCACACGGCCATGCCGTGACTGGGCTTGTCTGAGCGCAGCGACTCTTGTCGGCCTTCCCTTGTGCGCAGGAACCTGGAAACGGACGATCCACACCGGCAAGGACGATTGCTGAATGACGACATGTCACAGCTGACTGCACTCACAAGCATGTGAGTTTAGCATGCGTGGGAGTGCACCGAGCATGCTTCCTCGGAGTTGGCTCTTAACTCGGTGAGGATGGATGATTAATATCAGCACCTACTAATCAGATGAAGTTCCCAGGAAACTGGGTTTCCATCTAACTCATTGAGGGCTAGTACTGGAAGGGTGCTGGAAAATCAGATGACCTGGGTGTCTTGTTAATAGTGATATTCTGTGGAAATTCAGATGATTGTGATAAGCGCACCATGTCCCGGCCAGCATTCTGACCAGGGGGGCCCGGCCCGGGCCACCGTAACAGCGCCGAGGGCCGGCATTTTGACCAGGACGGCCCGGCCCGGCCCAGCCCGGGGCCGGCTTGCCAACAAGGCCAGCCAGCTGAGGCCGGGCCGGGCCAGCTCTGGTCATGCCTTCAAGTGACATGGATAAACGCACCGTGGCTTGCCCTCCCCATCTCAGTTGTTTCCCTTCTGCATCGGCATGTCCGGTAGCATCCTGCCCTGCCCTAGTTTCTCATGACCCCCGCCAATTGAAAACTCAGACCTCCATCTGGTTCCTGCTCCCACGCTCTGCAGGTCCCTCAGTGGAAACAACCTGGAAGGAAGGCTACCTTCCCAACAGCTGGGCCAATCTGGTCAATCTGCAGGAACTGTGAGTCACTGCTTGCCATTCCGTCCTATCATCCTGCCATGCTGCCATGCAGTGTTTCTACCATGGCGTCATACTGGCCCACCGCCGAGCTGCTGCCAGCACCATATGAACTCCATTGCTGCACCACCATGCCCGTGCCTACCTAGATCAATCCCAAGAACACACAGCTGCTAACAGACTCCATTCAGCAGAGCAAAATATACTCCCCCAGTACATAACCCACCTTTGTGTCAGCGCGCCCATACCCCCTTACCCAAAAATACAACCTGCAGCCCTTCATGGATCTCTGGGCCTAAGCCTGAGCAAGTACCGAGTAGCACCGAAGTTGAATTCAAACTGTCGAGCCAAATTTGGCAGGCCAAATGTTTGAGGTTCTAGAATCTATCCTGGAACTCGAACTTGGTAAGGTAAGGTTCGAGTCGAACCCTAACAGGTTCGGGTTCAACCTGCTCGAGTTCGGTTCAACTCGACAACCCGTTTTAGTTACATACATTGTCGGGGTGTTCAGGGGGTCGGGAAAGGGTGGGGTGGGTGGGGTATGATGAAGGAAGATATGGTGGGTGGGGTATGAAGAAGGAAGAAGATATGGTGTGAACATACATGAGCAACTAGTGCAGACAAAGAAACCCTTCAGAGGCAAACATTTTGTCAAACACATCCCAGCGAGTCTGAGTCAAGAGTTGTAGTCCAGGGTCTAGGGTTTCTCAACAAGTACACCTACCCCAGAAAAAACCACAACGGCTTGCACATGCATTGGTAGTAGTATCTCCCCCACCCCACACAAAAGGTCCACAAGAAAACACCTTCTACTATTTTCTACATAAACATCAGTTGCTGCGACGTCAAGTCCCGGCACCTAAATGGGGTCCCCTCACACATGCATTGGTAGTAGTACCTCTACCTTCTCCTCCTGCACCTCTCTTCGAGGCCAGATCCTCTGTCCGTGCACGAGAGGTCTTGGTACCATCACTGATCCAACCCCTCCACACAAGTTACCCTAAAAAAACCAGACAAAAATGCACCCCGATGGATGTCACTTCGAGCATTTTTTTGTTCAGTTCGAATGTTAGTGTCAGGACTGGACTAACATTGTTGCAGGTAATGTTTTGAGGGCGTGTCACACTTTTGTTCATGATAGCCTTCTAAACAAGGTGTTCAAGAAATCAGAAGGTTAACAAGCAGTTTTTTTTTGTTTTTTTTTTTAAACGGACAAAAAAGGTGCACTGCGGTATCCTTGAATAGGCAAGTCTTGCATGTGTTTTAAACAATTTTGTAACACGCACTGAGGTAACTAGGTAGATAGCTGATTAGATATTGAGGAAGGAGCGGATATCCCAAAATCGTTTCTCTGAGAATCCCCGCACACACGCCGCGGTTCGACGTGCCTCACCTTGTTCAAGTTTAACCCTTTAAAAAAATGGCAGTTCTGTACTTTTCTTCAAGCCTACCTGTGTCATCCCAGTGACCGGGCCCTGTGAACAATGCATTTGTTCTTTTTGTATCAGAGATTTGAGCTACAACCAATTTCAAGGACCCATTCCGATAACATTCTCGGCTCTAACAAGCCTGACCGTATTGTAAGTTTCCTGATGATTGAGTAAGTTTCCTGTGTCTTTCCCGCTTCCCATTGTCAAAACCCCACCCTGTTCTTGTCTGTATCCCTCGTCCCTTCCTCACACAGTGCACCACTTGTCCTGCCCCCTTTACTGCAGAGACCTTTCGTGGAATCAACTCTCTGGTTCAATACCCCCTGCATTTGCTCCCAGCATCCAGTCAATGTATGTCATTCTTCCCTCGCTTCCTGCCCCACCTTCCCAAGCCTAACCCCAGCACTTCCCTTTCTGAACAATTATGATTGAGTAAATTTTCAATATTCAGCTTATGTGTTTCCCTTCATTCATTCCCTGCTAGATCATTTTCCTTTGCCTCGTTGTACCTTCCTGCCCTTTGTTCCTTTGCCTCGTTGTACCTTCCCTTCCCGCCCTTTGTTTCTGTGCTCGGAGCTCTCTGAATATTTCTGTCGGAGATCCATATGGTCCGACCAAGTCGCGTTGCTTGCAGGCTATTTTGACGCAAAGTGTGCTTTGCACCCTTTGCATTGCGCTTGAACCACCCACCATTCCAGTGGGATGGTCCGCCGCACCATTGCTCCCCATCCCACTGTGATGGGTCACAAAGGCTTCTGAATGCCTGACTCCCTCCAGCTTTATGCCATATGAATGAGGTCCCCAAACAATATTTTGACTCAATACACTCCAGTCACCTCTATATGAGACCCACTCATACCGTTGCTGCTTCGATACCTCACATCTGCACCATCAACATCCTGACAAGGTCGTGGTCGTCTCATGGCCTCCTGCCTTAACCTGCCATGCCAAACCACAACTTCGAATCCATCTTTCTCTCTACATCCCCATACCAACAACTTCTCTCGTTGCAATTACAACAATTCTCTTCCCCCCACTCCTGTCATGTCTGGCTATCCAGATTGCTCCGCCACAATAATTTCAGCGGGCCCATCCCACCACACCTGGCTGGCACTGCCCAACCTCGTTAACCTGTGAGATTCCCCATGCTGGCCCATTTTTATGCACTCATTTTCGAACCTCCAAACTTATTCGCCCCTTGGGCTCTCCTCCTAACTACCTGCTCTCTGCACCTATTTCTCAATTCTTCAGTCACTCCCTTTCCATTCCGCTGCAATGTGCAAATGTTTCCTATTGGCCTGCCCTGGCTGCAGTGCGCTATCCTACAATCTGTTCACAGGAGCCATTCCCAACACCTTCACTCGCCTCACTGGCATCACTTCTCTGTATGTCTCTCCCCATGCTGCTCTCCCCCCTTCTACCACTGCCTGTTCAAGAGAATGCTCGTCATACCAGAGCACAGAATTGTTTGCAGTGCCTCACATGCTTCTGGTTGTTCATTGTTGCTGCATTCCCAACGACGTTTTGTGTGTGTGTGCGTGCTCCCCTTGACAGAGACATTTCTACCAACAATCTCAGTTCAGGCCTTGAAGTGGTGACTCAGATGTCATCGCTCCATAACCTGTAAGTGTGTTCTTCCTTCATCGCTACCTCAGCAGCCACCTATTGGCCCTCACCTTGCTTTCCGTCAATTAGTTTCTTCCCACTATGGTTGCCTCCAAAAGCTGAGACGCTTTCTCGAATACCATTCTGGCTTTGCAGATTTATCAATACCAACAACTTCTCTGGTGTGCTTCCAGCGTCCTTAACAGCAATAAGTGGCATCTCAGTAATGTGAGTCCACTGTATCTATCTCTCAGCTCAGCAGTGCAACAACACTTTCCGTTGCACCTAATTGAGTGGGTGGGATGCAGCAACAGTTAGGGTTGTGCCTGCCTCTATACGTATCCATTTGTGCAATTTTATTTCTTCACGTGTTGCAATGCCCCCATTTGTGTACATGCATGCCTTTATTCACGCATTTTTGAATTGAATTTCGTGTGTGCATGAATGCATTGACAGAGCCCATCGTTCTGCGCCCACATGTTCGTGCACGTGTGCAGTGGCCTATGCATGAGCCCCTGAATGCGTGCTTTCTGATACGCCTTCTCCATGTATTTGTTTCATCGTCTCCCACCTCACACTGTATCGTGGGCCTCGTTCAGGAATATTGGAGGCAATCATTTCACTGGAACCTTCCCAGAATTTATTATGTTCCAGGAGAGCCTCGTATTTCTGTAAGGCATCCACTTGTGGCCTTGAGCAAAAGCGAGTTGCACTGACGGAACAAATGCTACCATTTCTTCCAGTACCTTCCGAAACAACTATTTGAAGGCATGAGCAAAAAGGCGAGCAAAGTACCGAGCCGAATAGGTTCGGTAATTTGCCTTATTTTTTCGAACCGGTTGGTACCGATCCGCGCCGATTCGAAGCGAACCCGTTCCTTCAGAGGCTGGTTCGAGGTTTGAGTATGTAGGACGGAACGCGACCCCGGTTCGGTTACTAGCATTCATTGGAATCACAATCTTCGTAACAGTGTTTGTTTGTTTGTTTTTTGTTTTTGCTTTTTTTAGCAATCTTCAGGTACGCAAGGGTGTGTATTTTGGGGAGAGTGGGGTAGACATGAGAAAAGCATCGAACACCTGTTCGGTTCGGTTTGGTTCGCTTCCAACCGAACTGCACCGAATCGAACGACCGTTCGTTTCGGTGCTCATGTCGAGTCGAACCGAACAGATTTATGTTTCGCCCAAAAATGTTCGACATGAACATGTGTATGTCAAGACGAGCATGTTCGGTTTGATAAATAGGTTCAATCCATGCTGAACTAAACCTGTTTGAGGGCACAAAATGTTCACGTTGGAATGGATTGATTGGGAAAAACGGGGAGAAAGATGAGTGAAATAGGTGTTAATTATTGAACCGTAAACTGTTCCACACTATACTTGCTTAGCACAGTGCGTGCGGGTTTTTTTTTGTTGAAATTCGTGTAAGTACCTAGTTGCCCATCCTCCTAGTATCCCCAGTTCCCACGGTTCTTTAGACCAGAACGGCCCGAAGGAGTTTTAGGTTTGAGAATATGTTAGTCATACGGCACTAGCCGTGATTATAAATAGGCCACTTGGAGCCATAGTTTGGCAGTTTTAGTGGCAGTTCTCCACTATATTTTTTTGTTTGTGTTGGGGCTAGGAGGTTTTGGTTGTTGTGCGGATTCATTGACTCTCGTTCTTCCTTGTTTTGATCGGCTGGACCTTTGCATGTATCCCTTTAGGTAGACATGAGCAGGGAACCGAGCATTGGTTCGGTTCGCTTGAACCGGTTCTACCTCCTTACGAACTGAACTTCAACACCCACATAAAACTCGGTCAAACATGGTTAGGTTTGGCCGAAAAGGTTGGGCGAACCTTTTCGTTTTGCCCGCGCCGCGCCAAATCCCGCGCGGTTCGTCGCGGCCAGTTACACCTCCGCGCCACCAACCCGTTTCCCACTCGTCAAAATCGGGAAATATTAGAGCTGGCCGTCAATATCGTTAGTTCTACTTCAGGCCTAAGTTTACTACCCATCCAGCCTCCCTAGTATCCATGTCTATAACCAAATTAGAGCATAGCTTTGCCTCGCCAGTAGATCCGCGCGGCAAAATGCCAGATCTGTGGGGTTCTGGCGGCGGAATGCCCGGGGAAGTTAAATCTTTCTGTCTACATCTCCCATACCCCCAAATCCCGTACAACAGATTTTGGTAAGAACCGTGGAAAGAACAAAGTCAAAGTCCATGTGGCTATAACGACTTTCCTTGCCAAACCGAACACAGTTCGGGTTCGGTCGAACCTGGAACAGTTCGGCCGAACAAAAAAAAAACGTTCGACAGTGTACAGTCGAACTCGAACCTCGGCCAACCCAAAAAAAAACGTTCGGCCGAACCAAACAGTTTTGATTTGACCAGTAGGATGGTTTGTACAAGTTCGGGTGGAACCCGCTCAGGTTCCGTTCGTGCTCTTGTCTTTTAATTATGTGTTTGCATGTGGGTATTTTGAACATCCATTCGTCAAGCATCGTGTACACGTTGAAACTTTGATGTGTTTGGCATGATGTTGACATGTTTGCAACGTTCCCCCAACCCGTCTCCCAAAGTTACCCTCCCCCCAAAACAGACAGAAAATTCAACCCTGGTTAAATATGTGTCTGTAGTGAAAGTGTTACTCGAGTAGAACACTTCCCTGTTCGGTTCGGTCAACCCACTTGGTGAAACAGTGAAACACCAGAATTGCTAAATCTGTTCGACTCGACCGGAACGTGCTCGGTTCCAGGCAATAAGGTGTTCCAAAGTGTTCGAGGCGAGCATGTTCGTGTTCGCTCTTTGATCATACCTGAACACCTCACATGGCAATCGCAATCCGTATGGTCATGGCAGGCACTTGGAGAACAACAGTTTCACAGGGACTATCCCCCGTGAATTGACCAAGCTTCTCTACCTGTCTGACATGTTAGTTGCACCGCTGGAACCCAATCAGAGGGTTATCCTTGGAGGTGTTATAGGGCTTAAGGGATGGGAGAAGAAAATGCCAAGTGGAGCAATGACTCAGGGCTGAGGATCCTTTAGCAGGTCTGCCATGCTGTAGCCTTGTGCTTGAAGATTTGAGGTCACTCTGAGATTCTTGATACCATTGCCCGGCCCCAGAAACCTCAATAACAACAATTTCCATGGAACTATCCCATCCGGCCTTCTTCAGCTACCCTATTTGTACTCGCTGTAAGTAGCTCCATTACTCCTGTTTCAGAACATCCGTTTTCTTCCGTCTCTCACCTTGGTGTGCCTTCAACTCGTTTACTCAATGATCTGAGTGTGCATACAACATGATTACGGCTATCCCTGACATGTCGTATAGTACTTTGCAAGAACTCTTCTCGGCTACTTGCTTAGGATGTGTCTCCCTGCATCTCCCAAGAATTCAACTTTCCACCCCAAGCTTGTTGTATGTCTCTTAGAACGCTCATGACGCATGCATGCATGTGCTTTGGCAGTTTTTTTGGGTTTCTAACAGCTGCATTCAGCCTTCCCTCTATTTCCCTACCATCCCAATACAGGCAAGCATCTAACAATTTCCTTTCTGGAAATCTCCCAGGGGCTCTCAGTATCAGCCCATTTCTTTTAACGTTGTAAGTAACGCAGCGACTGTGTGCTGCCACCACTGTGTGTGCTGCCACCACTGTGTGTGCTGCCACCACTGTGTGTGCTGCCACCACTGTGTGTGCTGCCACCACTGTGTGTGCTTCCACCACTGTGTGTGCTTCCACCACTGTGTGTGCTGCCACCACTGTGTGTGCTGCCACCACTGTGTGTGCTGCCACCACTGCGTGTGCTGCCAGCACTGGGTGTGCGTGGTGGCACCCTTTCCATTCGTGCTTATCTCTCATGCCACTGAATCTCCCTTCGCTCCTCTTGCACCGTGCAGAAACCTGGGAGGAAATGAGTTCAACGGCTCCTTACCAGAGTTCTCACGCTGGAACCTCAGCTGTGTGCAGTTGTAAGCCTCTCCGCATTCTCTTCCTCCCTGTCCCACTCTAAACATCTCTTGCTCGATCTTGTTCTTAGCACCATGGGGTTCATGCCACACGTCCCACCCATAGTAAGCAATTGCGTTCACCCCACTCACCTCAGGCTATCTTGTTGCTGCCCCGCCTGTGTTGTGGCTCAGAGATTTCAGCAGCAACAACTTCACAGGGTCGATTCCCGGCTCCATCTCCACCCTCACCACCATCCAGGGGATGTGAGCTTTCTTGTGCCACAACAGGCCATAACGTCTGCCATCAGCACTTAACGTTTGCCATCAGCACTTAACGTCTGCCATCAGCACTTAACGTCTGCCATCGGCACATAACGTCTGCCATCAGCACATAACCTTGAAACCATTCCCATCTGAACAAGGTGGACTGGCATGTAGAAAACTCATATTCGCGCAGAAGAAAGGTAGCAGTGGCCTCCTATGCACACACACAGTGCCTCTGCTCCAGCTCCGCAACGTTTGTGTGCACTTCAACGAATTTACCCCTTGCCATGCCCTACAGTATTCTCAAAAACAACCAACTGACAGGCACCATCCCCTCTGCCATCTTCACCATGACGAATCTGAAATACCTGTAAGCCTCATGGGCTTGAGGATCCCATGAAGCGTGCAGTCTTACCTCTGCCCATGGTGCTTTCCTACATCAGGCCGCGATGCTCTTGCATCAGCCTCAAGGGCTTAGGAATCAAAGTGCCCATTAAGCGATCCCACCTCTGCCCTATCGTGTGCCTTCATGTGCTACTTCTCATCACAAGATCTCCCTGCCATTGCCTTCACTTACTTCTCATCACAAGATCTCCCTGCCATTAACTTCACTTACTTCTCATCACAAGATCTTCCTGCCATTGCCTTCACTTACTTCTCATCACAAGATCTCCCTGCCATTGCCTTCACTTACTTCTCACCGCACTGTCTCCCTGCCATTGCCATTGCCATTGCCCGTCAGCTACTTGGCCAACAACCATCTGAGTGGCAGTCTGCCAGCTGCCATCAGCCAACTGAAGAAGCTTGAACAGATGTGAGGGTGCTGTCTGCGTTGCTCCTCTACACTTCTCAAGGTCGCAGGCAGCGTAGAAGCAATACATGCAGCACAAGCACAAGTTTACACTAAAGTGTTATTACAACACAAGTCTAGCACACTCCCTGCTCAAGCCGCTGCTATTCATGCAACACCTTCCTGCCTCCTGCCACCGCTCTGCCTGCCCCCGCAGCTGGTTGGACAACAACAAGATCGAAGGCCCTCTGCCAACTGCCCTATGCTCGCTGCCCTGGCTGTGGCGCTTGTGAGTTGCTGTCAGCGACGACAGTTCAGGATCGAATTTTGAAAGCATGTTTGTATACGTACTGCATTCACGCTTGTACTGCATTCACGCTTGTACTGCATTCACGCTTGTACTGCATTCACGCTTGTACTGCACTCACGCTTGTACTGCATTCACGCTTGTACTGCATTCTCGCTTGTACTGCATTCACGCTTGTACTGCATTCACGCTTGTACTGCATTCTCGATTGTATTGCATTCACGCTTGTACTGTGTTCACGATTTTGAGAATGAACTAATTGTGGGAATTTGTCTCACCTCTGTGTGTTTGGCATTTTGTATGGGTGTGTAACTCGTCGTGCGGCATGGTGTGCGATGGGCGTCTGCAACCGAACAGCATGATGAGCAACAACTACCTCTATGGACGACTGCCAGACTGCCTCTTTGACAAGTGTATCAACCAAATGTGAGCCAACCACGCATGCTCTATTCTCAGTACAATGGCATGCATGCAACAGCTCGCACCCTCTATATGGGCGTCGCAACGAGTGACGAGATGGATGGGCTCCGTGTGGTGGGACTACCTTTGACCGAGCACTAACATCACTTTCTGCCCTCTGTATGGCCCCGTGCTTCCCACAGTGATGTGAGCGGCAACAGCCTGTACGGGCGCATCAACCACGATTTCAAGAACATGGAGGCGGATCGAAGGGCGCTCATCAACTTTAAGAACAACTTCTTCTTTGGAGATGCCGTGCTCTTTGCTGGCGGCTGCAAGGTCTGCCCGACGGAGGTCAGCAAGCCCAACAAACTGGACATCAAAGACACCTTTAGTTACCAACCGTTTGGTGTCAAGTGCATCAACGCTATACCCTCTGACCTGCCAGATAGCTCCGTGGCCGGGCCAGGCAGGGCGGTGAGGGTGAGTCTGTCGGGCAACTGCCTGACCCTCAGTGCAAACGCGGAGTGCTCCTCCAACGCCACCCAGCGCAGCATGGCAGCCTGCCAGGCGTTCTGCAGCATCACTGACAACGGCCCGTGTGACGGCCATGGGGCGTGTGTGCCGCCTGCCCCCGCATTCCCCACCAACTTCACGTGCCTCTGTGATGCCGGGTACACCGCTCTCGACTCGGGCAACGGCTCCACATGCGCCATCGTCAACTCCACCACCACCACCACCACTGGTAACCCTTGCTTTATTCTTACAGCGCTGCCTCATTCTTACATGCTGCACCAACAAACAATCATGTCATGAGGCTTTTGTTATCCATATGTTATCACTCTTTTCCTTGCCTCGACGCCTCCCCTAACCCCCGCCCTGTTTCCCTTAACCTCCCCTTCTTTGGCAGTGTCCTCTCTGTCCACGGGCGCCATAGTAGGCATTGCTGTGGGCTGCTTTGCTGGCTTCACTATGCTGGCTGCTGTGGTCGCATTGCTGATGTGGCCCCGCGGACCAAGTGAGTTCCTCAACCCTTCTTCAGTTCCTTTCCGCGTCCCCAATTGCTGTACCTATTTTCTGGCCCCCCTCCCAGCTCTCTGCAATTATTCCTGCACTATACCTCTGCCTCGCCACTTTTCACATGCTTTGTCCACTCATCTGCACACCCTGGTCGCTCACTCCTCATGTCTGTGTTTCTGTGTGTGCACAGAGAAGTGGGAGGGTTTGGATGTGTGTGGGCAGTTCTCGCTGCAGCAGATGCTGACTGCCACCAACAACTGGTCGGAGGACAATGTGCTGGGCAAGGGTGGCTTTGGCATTGTCTACAAAGGCCGCTCGCCACAGGGCCAGCTGTGGGCCATCAAGCGCTCCACCATCATGACCAACGACTTTGAAACGGAGGTCAGGCATGCCTCTACTCCCTTGCATTCCGCCCACGAAGCATGCGAAAATCACGGTACTCTGTAGTCCAAAACGCTGACTTCCAGATTCAGTGCTTGCCTTTCCATGTCAATGTTGCAGGTGCGCGCCATGGCCTCTCTCCACCACTCGCATCTCGTGCGCCTGCTGGGCTTCTGCCTGGACCAGAACGTGGAGACGGGCAAGCAGGAGCAGATCCTGGTGTACGAGTTGATAGCCAACAGGGACCTCGAGTACCATATCCATGCGACCAAGCGTGAGTTTCACTAGCAACATCGTCAAATAATTGCCACGCATTTGATGTTTATTTCTCTCTCTGTCTTCACACGGCATGACACCGTCACTCCTATATTCATGCGTGCTCGGTGTCCATGTTTCATGACCCAGGTCCGCTCTCGCTGCGCCAGAGGTTGCGCCTAGCACAAGGAGCAGCAGAGGGCCTGGCATACCTGCATGGGTTTGAGACCCCCATTGTTCACCGCGACATCAAGCCAGCCAACATCCTTGTGACGGCCGACATGCAAGCCAAGGTGGCTGACTTTGGGCTGCTTAAGAGACTCACTCACGGCGATGCTGATGCCACGCGAGTGGCCGGCACTCCGGGCTATGTGGACCCGGATTACAACCGCACCAACGTCATCACTGCCAAGAGTGACGTGTTCAGGTCTGCATGCTTGTTCCTTTGCACAAAGCGATGAATTTATGCTCCTCCTGTTTCTTTTTCTAATCTTCCAAGTTATGCTGAATATGTGTACCTTGTATTGCTATCTCTGCCTCTATCCATCTCTTTCCAACTTTTCTCCTTTGTGTCCAATTCCATGATTAATTGCAGCTTTGGAATCGTTCTTCTTGAGCTGTTGAGTGGAAAGCCGCCCAAAGTCGACGGGAAAACGCACCTAAGAAAATGGGTATGCTCATCAACCCTGAAATCCAATTTCTGGGTCGGCTATAAGAGAATGGGCATGCCCAACAAATCTCAAATCCGTCTCTGTCCTAATTCTGTATGGCCGCTCGTTTATACTGAATTGCCTTTCATGCCGGCTATCACTGCCTTTCCTTGCCGCGTGCTGCCTTCCAGCGCCCTTCCTGCTTATCATGATGATTTCCACCTCCTCTCCCGTTCATCACCCTTCCTCGCGTGGACGCCCTCCAGGCAATGAAGATGGTGGAGGAGTATGAGGTGGATGAGCTTAAGGACAGTAAGATGCCAGCAGCAAGCGAGGAGGCCATAGTGGACTTTGCAGACCTGGCTCTGGACTGCATCAAGTCTCCAGGCACACGGCGACCCACTATGAAGGATGTGGCATACCGCCTCAGTGCCCTGATTGACAAGCACTGTCCCGACAAGGAGGAAGAGTGGGAGATTGTCGCGGAAGAAGAGAGTGCAAGCAACGGGGCTATGTCTTCAAGGGATACTTCTGTTGTGTCGTTGGGAAACGGTGGGAGGGAGGCTGAGAGGTCTTATGGCTCACATTCTGGTGTGAGCTCATTCATGCACGATAGCTCAATAAGTGATGGCGTCAAGAGTTGGCTACAATTGAAGCCATCCAAAGGCCGTTGAGTTTGCCAACAATGCACATGGACGGTTAATCGCACGAAGCTAGGGTGCATAGCAGTACAGTAAGAGCACTAGGGTGTCATATCCAGGGCGATACTTGGACCCGGGGTCAAATATTTTTCTCGGAGATAAGACTTAGGGCGTGTCATATTTGGTTCAATTTGGCTCAAAACCCTACCCGAACGCATAGAAGTGTAAACAAGCCGCTCTGACAAGCGCAAAACCTCACTCAACCGCAATAGAAGTACAACTCATACCGTCTATTCCCGGATATAAGACCCGAGGGACTTAATAAAATTTCATTACAAAATGGTAGGGTGAACATCATGGTGGCTGGAAATAGATAAGACCCCTAAACTCTTATATAACGCAATACAGTGATATACTGTGCCTATTTAATTGATCGGGGAGGGGTCTTGTATTCGGCAAAATTGTGTTCTTACGCCGAGAATGCGCGAAAACGCTGAGTCACGCAAGGTGCCTCGTTGTACACATCTTGCACGTGCTTAGGAGCCGTGCTGCCTTATCGCCTGCCAGCACGATGCAGCCACCTCCCTCAGACACCTCCCATCCTACAGTCACCAAGCCTCTCGCCAGCGGCACGAGAATTGCCTCTGGGTGCAGGGTCGTGGTGACCTCCACCTCCACGTCTCTCATCAGCCAGGAGTCACAGGGTAGTCTCGTGTTCTGATGTGCATTTCACTCATCAGTTTCGTAGCCTTAAAATCAGCAGCCACCTTGATGGAAATCCCCGTTAGCAAACATACATGCAGTTGGCGCCATGTCGGTGCTGAACATCCTCATGCAGTCGCGTGCTGGTGGTTGTAGGCCACGATCACCGCGTCCAAACCCTGCCCGTCATGCGATCCCTGTCATTATAACACCACCAGCTCCACCCGCGCCACCTGCGCCACCTGCACCGCCGGCTCCTCCGGCACCTCCAGCGCCTCCTGCGGCCCCTGTCGTCATTCTCCCTTTTTTCGAGCCTGTAAACGATGACGATCTTGTTGACGATGTACCGCTCACGCCTTCGGAGTCTAGCCCTGCTCCAAACTACCCTCTTCCCCGCTTCTCAGATGATCTCGTTCATAACAAGGAGAGCCCCGCAGGTAATCGTGAAGCAGGCCCGTCGTTACCTCGCCACCGTGTTACGCAGCACAAATGGAAAGCGCGGACGATGGCGGAGAAGCTCGGATTCCTGACGCGTATGAAGGACGAGCAACTCACAGTTCGTGTAACCGCTCGCATCGCCTACATCCAACTGATTAGCGTCCGCCGTTGGATCAAGAGCGCCGACCAGATGAAGACGGCTGCAGGATGCCGCCGGCGGCTCGTAGGCGGCGGGAGGCATGCTAAATTCCCAAACATGGAGCTTAGCGTGTACCGCAGCTTCCTGTCCTTCCGATCTCGCCGTCTAGCCATTCCCAACCGTCTCCTCCAGACGTGGAGCTCCACTTACATGAAGCGTCACCACCCCGAAGTGGATTGGCGCGCGTCCATTTGCTGGTGCATGCGGTTCCGAGGGCAGTGGGGCCTTACGATGAGAGTGAAGACCAAAGTCGGTCAGCGGCTTGCAAGAGGTAAGCTACTGACGAGATTTCCTTTGCAACTTGTGTGAATTCACTGATCAAGAGATCTAACTCGCGCTAATGTTGTATGTGCAGACTGCAAGGACAAATGTGAGAGCTTCTGGGCGTTTGTCCGGAAGCAGGTGACACGCCACGAGATTGATCCGTGGAACATCGTCAACGCGGACCAAACACCCGTGTTTTTGGAGATGCCACAGGAAAGGACTCTTCACCACCGCGGCGAGAAGACCGTCCACATTCGCAGTGCGGGATACGAGAAGGAAAGACTTACCGTGATGCTGGGGGTGACGGGCACGGGCGCGAAGCTCAAACCTATGGTGATTTTTAAGCGCAAGACGGTGCCCAGCATACGGATTCTGGAAGGTAAGTCTTGTCCCTCATTCAATCCGTTTACCCCCTTGCGAGGCTATGTCATTGCTAACTGCCCCTTCGCTGTATGGGCGGATGGACGCCACCCTTGTGCAGGACTGGGTGCAGCATGTTTTGCTCCCATTTGTGCGCCCCCCCGCAGGTATCAACCGGAGCCGCTCGCTTCTCGTGCTTGAATCCTACAGGGGTCACCTAGCCGACGCTGTGCTAGAGTTGTTGCGCTGGAACAGCGTGACGCCTGCCATCATTCCAGGCGGCTGCACACCGTTGGTGCAGCCGCTCGACGTAAGCATAAACCGTAGCTTCAAGGCTGGCATGCGCAAACGCTACAACGAATGGTTTGCAAGTGAGGGAATCAACTCCTTCACCCCTAAAGGTATTGCTCGTATAGGTTTCTTTCTGCGGACGTGTTAGTGTTTGTGTTAATGTCATGCAACACTCACAAGAGCTTTTCTATCACCCTGTCCACCCCGTTAACCACAGGAAATCTCCGCAAGCCACCGGCCGAGCTAATCCTCCAGTTGATCGCGGTGGTGTCAGATGATTCCCCCCCCCCCCCCCCGCATATAAGTCCCTGGGACCTTTAATCCAGAGGGTCTTATACCCGGGAAAAAACTGGCGCTTACAGTATTCTAGAATGCCTGTGCTTTTGGTTATTCCAGCACCGGACAACACACCCTCGGGTGCACATTACTGGCAGGTCTACTATCCAGGGGATTATGATAAGAAGGAAACGCCTTCTTTCGTATTACGTACGTACTACAAGGTGCCGGGCACTAATTTCTCTTGTTGAGTGGATCAGAAGCGCTCAGCAGAAAGAATCAGCTAGAGCATCAGATAGAGCGGAAAGGATATAAGTTGTTCCTGGTTGATGATAAGAATGAAGACATACATAAGAGGAATCAGTAAAGGAGATAGATGGTGTTGGGTACAGGGTGGACTGAATGTTATAGTGATGCAATGTTGACAAGGTACGGTACAACAAAACGCAAAGTGCAGCTTGATTTATGTATGACAAATTTCAGGATGCTGATTGAGTCGTGATTAGCAACTCACAAATTTGCCATCGCGGAATTTGACGCAGGGTCTGCGCCATCTCGAGTGAACACACTTATGCTCGAGCCGCAGTTATCCGTACCAAAAAAAAAAGAACCGCACTGCAGCCTCGAACACCATTAATGTTGTTCAGTGTGTAGTAAGCCTTGAAGATGCCCGCCACCTCCTTCGGGGACTGAGTGCAGCCGTAATTTAAGCGGAAGGTGTAGGGCTTGGAGGCCTTGTCTTTGGCTTGGACGTTTTGAACGAGTGTCATAGTGCTGGCAACCACTTGGTCCGCCGAACATGAGAACGGATGGCACAAGCAGCAGGGGAAATGTGGAGCACGGAAGGGAGAGAACGGGAAAGAAGGGTCATGATGGTAAGAAATGGTACGGGAAAGGACGGTGAAGGCATAAATGTGACAAGCAGTAGATTGGTGCATGTTGAAGCTAATATCACACTCCCAGTTGAAGAACTTAATAATTTGCAGCATGAGGTCACAGCTTCAGGCTGAGAAGCTCTCAGCTTCATGATCCGTCATTGCTACTTCACCTCATCTGACCTAATCAAATGCATCATCCAATCAACGGAGAGAAGAAAATAGGGAGGTATTGAATCTTACCTGGGATGCATTCCGTTAAGGTCATCCCAGACCCCGCAGGGCGCTCGCAGTATGGCACTTCTGCCTCGTTACCAACAACTGTATGGATGGTTTTGCAGGTGGCTCCAGAGGGACACGAGCCGCAGGGTGAGTCTGAGCAACAGAGCAAGGCAGACATAAGGAACGGCAGAGAGATGGCGACATGAGCACGGAAAATGGGCCAACTGCAAATGAATGTGAAGTAAACTGTACCACATAATACTGGTAGTAGAGACAGAGTGCACATGGGATGGGTTCGGTGTATAGGAAGCTGGAAGCCATGCTTACTCCATTTGCATGAGCGAACTCCGTTTGTGTTCACACAAACCCCATCCGGTTCGCAGCCCAAGACGTTGCAATCCGTATCTGACGTGAGTGCACGGAAGGATGGGGTGGAAGAAGGGGGGGGGGGGGGGAAGAGGGGAAAATACTTGAAAGAGGACACAAATACAGGTGGAACATGCAAAACGGCTGTTCAACCGCGGAGTTGCCTGCATACAACGGTTTTTGATCCTCCACGCGATACCATTGCAACTCACCAACGCAAAGCAGTTGGTCTGGAGGCATCTGGAAGCCCGAGTCACACACGCAGGTTGGATCCCCGTTCTCCTTCCTCGCGCACTTGCCATTGGGCCCGCAATTTACCGCAACACAATTGTTTGCAGAAAGAGAGACCCACGCAAGCGGAAGGATGATTTATATCAGAGAACAACAAAACCTGAAGACAGTCAAAGGTCACAGATTTGAATCTACGGAATTCACAGTAATTGTTCCCCGAGTTTTGAGTCAAGGGGAGGCCAAGTTTCAAGGACCTGGTTTGAAACCCACTGTGAGACGCAAGGGAAGCCAACTGTGTTGCACCCCTCCTACTCACCGATGCAAGAGAGTTTGTCAGAAGACGGCTTGAAGCCAGTGCTGCAACTACAGGATGGATTTCCGTTCTGATCATTCATGCACTTGTTGCGAGGACCACAATTCACTGAAGCACAGTTGCCTGCAGAAAACGAGACCAATGCAAGAGAAAGGATACGAACATCTTAGATAACTAGAGTACCCGAATCGTGACGATCAAGGGTTATGCGCATGAGTTTCAGTAACTCTTGCAAGAAAGTTGAGGGAAGACCAAGTTTTGACGACTGTGTTTGTAACGCAAGACACCCACTCCATGTTGCACCCCTCCAACTCTTGTCGGAAGACAGGTTGTAGCCAATATTGCAACTACAGAACGGATTTCCATTCGCATCCCTCATGCAGTTGTTGCCCCCACAATTCACTGAAGCACAGTTGTCTGCAGAAGCTAAAACCCAACGAAGAGGAATGATATTATCATATCAAGAAACTATAATATCAGAGTTTTGACAAGCAGGGGTCATAGTAATATTTGCAAATCAGTAACTCTTGCACGAAAGTTGAGGAAAAAACAAATTCTAAGGAACGGGCTGGAAATGGAAGGCATCCCCTCTGCATTGCACCCCTCCAACTCACCGATGCAAGTGAGCTTGTCAGAAGATAGCTTGAAGCCAGTGCTGCAACTACAGGATGGATTTCCGTTCTCGTCCCTCGTGCAGTTGTTGTGAGGACCACAATTCACTGCACCACAGTTGTCTGCAAAAAACGAGACCCAGGCAAGTGAAAGGATCTTATCATATCAGAAAAACAATAATATCCGAATCTTGACAATCAAGGGTCATAGTTAAATTTGCACGCAATTCAGTAACTCCTGCAAGAAAGTTGAGGACAGGCCAATTTCCAAGGAATGGGTTTGAAACAAAAGGCACCCCCTCTGCATGGGTTTGAAACAAAAGACAGGCCCTCTGTGTTGCACTCCTCCAACTCACCAATGGAAGAGAGCTTGTCAGAAGACGGCATGAAGCCAACGCCGCAACTACAGAATGGATCTCCGTTTGCATCCCTCGTGCAGTTGCCGCCAGGCCCACACTTCACTGAAGCACACAAGTCTGCAAGGAAAGGATACGGAGAAAAGGGAATGATGATCAGGCTTGACAACCATGGGGTATATAGTAATGTGACCATCATGCTGACAACTTCAGAAGCAGAAGGGATCAGATATATAACAAATGGAATCATGTAAGGATTCTAAGTGAGAGCCATGAAAAAACTACATTTGGTAGTGCGATACTCACCCCCCTGTAACAGCACAGGTACGACTGTCAACCTACCAGTTAACCACATAGGTTTAACATCCATGGGGATTATGCAACAAATGGAATCAGGCAATGTGCATTGCGAGCATTGTGCAGACTATTCTAATTCGGATTTGCAAAGAAATATGTGACTAGTTATGCGATCCTCACTCCAAACCCTTCTTTCGTAACAGCTGATCACTGTAATACCACCTGGTGTGTTGAGTTGGAAGATTGGTCAAAATATTTGCCAGAAGATAATAAACTTGGTACCCACCCAGCACTAGTCTCTTCACGATCCCCTCGACTCTGAGAATTCAGTAGGGGTTTAAAATGCTATTCAGCAATATAAATTCACAAGAAAATTGGAGACGAGGAGGTATTAGTAGCAGCATACCTAGGCAAGTGCCATTGGCGGCAGCAAAGCCCGGGTTGCATGCAGAGGTGACGCCCTTGCTGTCACACGTTGGCATGCACGTGGAGTTGCTCGGACACGTGGCGTGCTGGCAGGTGGCGTCTGCAAAGCAATCATGGGGGCAGGAGACATGTGGCATGGCTGGTGAGAGATGAGATGCTCTCTTTCATGGAAGAGATGAGATGTGTGCGACAACATAACAAGGTGAAAGCATATGGCAGAGAATCTCTCTTTAATTGAAGAGATGAGATGTGTGCGACAAAATATCAAGGTGAAAGCATATGCAAGAGAAGAGAAGGTCTCTTCCACGAAAGACATGAGATGGGTGCGGCAAGGTAGCAAGGGGGCATGGTGGCATGGTGGTAAGGATTCACGGAGGTAAAGAGGAACGGAGGGAGGCAAGGAGGCAAGGCACGCACCAGTATTGCAGGAGACAGAAGTCCATCGGGAGACCTTCTTTGTGCTGCAGTCAAGGACGTCAGGAACACAATCGGATCAGACGTTACATTAGGGCGGCAGATCAGATCATGCCACGAGGCACGACAGTGGCTCAGGACAGAGGCACACACCGACGTGCCCCCACGACCCACCTGGGCACATTGAAGAATTTGCGCGGAGCGGCAAACTGTGGCTTCAGCACCTCATCCAGCGCCTTGCCCTTGCAGGCGGGGCTGGCAAAGAACTGCACCTTCTTGCATGCCGCACCCGCCCGCTGCCTCCCGCCTGCGAGCCCGTGCCACCACACCTGCACGCCCCGCCCCGCCTTGAGCACCTTGAGCACGGCCTTGGGGAAGGTGAAGCATCGGAGGGCGTCGAAGCCTGATGCCCGACACCGTGATTTGCGTGCCCACTGCCACCCTCGCCTCCACCGCCCCGCCGCCGCCGCCAACCCCCACGCCCACACCCACTGCTGCCCCGCCTGTGCTGCCACCCCCCACACCGACAGCCACCCGCATGCTCCCATTCCCGCCTCCCGCAGTAATCTCGGGTTTGATCCTCCTCCTCGCAGCCACAGCATTGCCCACGCCACCCACGCGCCCACTCGCAGTCACAGCATTCAGGAGATCTGTGCGCTCTTCTGCTGCCACGTGGGCTGTGGCGGCCACTGGATGGAGAAGAAGCAGAGGGGTGAGAGGGAGCAGAGGGGTGAGAGGGAGCAGAGGGGTGAGAGGGAACCGAAGGGTGAGAGGGAGCAGTGGGGTGAGAAAGAGCAGAGGGGTGAGAGGGAACAGAAGGGTGAGAGGGAGCAGTGGGGTGAGAGGGAGCGGAGGTTTGAGAGGGAGCAGAGGGGTGGGAGGGAGCAGAGGGGTGGGAGGGAGCAGAGGGAAGAGAGATCGCAGAGGGTTGAGAGTGAAATAAGCGTGCGCTGTTCTCACCAGAGGGCAGAAACAACTCACCACCAATGATGACGGCAAGGACGAGGAGCGGAAGCAGCGCGGAAGGAAAGGTGGCCATTGCGGTCGAGCGGCCACGTCAGCTGGGTGACTTGAGCCTCCGTCAGCCAATCAACAGGTTCTGGGGTCACACGCGTGACGGGCGTGCACTGAATAGTGCAATGTGAAACGAGGTGGTTTTGAACTGATGTTGTTAAAGATGGTAACACGAGGCTAGCTAGTGGTACACAGGTAAAGCTGATTGTGGTATACCTGGTGGCGCTACTATCATGCAGCACGATATGGCACAGAAGCGGGGGAAGATATGTCTCCATGGCTGCTCTAGCGAGTGAGTTATAGACGAAATTCGGATGCTCCCAGGGGCGATGGGGTGGCTGGCTGGATCCTCCACCACACTGAAACCCCGCTTTATGCAATCACAACTAGCCGAACCTTCTCCAACCCCGCCAAGGTCGACCCGGGGTGAGGGGGCGCGTCCTTAATGCGTCACTTATTAATGCGTCACTTATTGATGCGTCACTTATTGAGCGATCGTCTGGAGGATTCATTGGAACGAGTTCAAAAAGGAGCGAGCGAGAAATGCGGCGACCGATCTGGGTGATGAACGGTGAGCTAGTACGATCAGCAGCAGCAGCAGAGCCTATCACAGCGCAAGGAAATGAATTATTGCAAGTTTTGCACATTTCGCTGCTCGCTGGCGAATGGTATATCTCAGCGGACAACTGACTCCGCCCAGCGGAGCTCGCTGCCCGCGGGCGAAACAAATAAAACCCATTCGGGCATGCATCCGGTCAGGGAGGCATCAACCCTAAACACCTGGAGGCATGTGTTTAGGGTTGATGCCTCCCTCGGATGGCATGCCATCCGATAGGATTTTAGTTTTTTTTCTGCCCGAGGGCAGCAGTTCGTCAGGTCGTCAATGGGTCGACGGAGCTAACGACCCATTTCCGCTGAGACGTTCCGCACAGCCTTCGCTGGCAAGTGAATGTTCGCTCACACAGGTTTCGCTGCTCTCAGCCCTCCCCCGCGATGTTCGCAAAGTTCTCCAGTGTGTTTCACGAGTTAGGGCGTGTAACCATTTTGCCTTTGACGGTTCGAACCGTTGAAGGGTAACTGTGCTCGCAATGTTTCGCAATAACGCACGTGAAACTGGCGGGAGCAGTTTTGTACGCGGTAGAGGTGGTGACGCGAAGTAAGGATATTTTATTTCCTTACATACGGTAATACAAGGTATAAGTAAGTTGAAAACGATTTGAAACCAACTAGGGCTCTGGAAGTTACGTGTACCGTGTATGCTTCTAAACATGACAAGCTTATTGCCGTCGACATAGATTATTGATATTCTGACACTCAATGCATCTGGGAACACGTGCAACAGGGCCAAAGTATGCAGTGATAGCCTTGAACTTCCCATTCAAGAAAGTCCGCTCCACCTGCAGCACATTCGGTTAACGGGAGTTGAAACAAGAATGTTACACAGATGTTGGGACCTCACGTCGTTGTGTTCTAACGAGCACACATATCAGCACTGAAGCAAATTGCGGCATGAGCCACGAGTCACAAGTGACGCACCAGACAGGGACCTGAAGGCGTGACGGAGCGAGCGAGTTGCTCCAGGTGGTGCATGGGAGTGTTGCGAGGCAGGTACATGGCCACTGAGGGGGCGATGCTCAGTGATAGCTGCAGCAGTGCAGAGCTGGGGGAGGAGAAGGAACAAAGGAGACAAAGGGGTATAGGGGGTGGGGTTGCTCCAAGTGGTGCATGGGAGTGTTGCGAGGCAGGTACATGGCCACTGAGGGGGCGATGCTCAGTGATAGCTGCAGCAGCGCAGAGCTGGGGGAAGGGGGAGGAGCAAAGGAGACCAAGGTGGTATCACGGGTGATGTAGTGCGTTGTAATTCAGTGGTCTCTGGTACCAAAACTGAGGGAAGAAGGAAAGGCAATGGGATAAAGGGTGCTGTGGAGGGTGGAGAGAGGGCTATTCAGCACGTGTGAACGCATGGATGAAGAGGTTGCACATTCCACTCAACACCATGATAACTGAACGAGAGGTTTTGAGAGAAATAAAAGAAGCGATTGGATGTGGTCGGTAAGTAAAGGGCACTCAAGGGCGGCACGTACGCGCTGACTGGCTGCAGCATGGTCCATATGTTGTACTCTGATTGGTCCAGATACTCCGGGCCGCCCCATGGGGGGGACAGGAAGACCACATCAGCCTGCCCTGCAGCACAAGGTAAAGGCACGACACGGGTAGAAGAAGCAGTGGAACAGTGGATGGGCGCATGGGTACAATGGGGGGTGGGGGTGTAGAAAGTGGGAGCATGGGGGTTGGGAGCATGGAAGCATGAGTGCAAGTGAGCATTCCAACATGGGGCATAGCGCATGGGAGCATGTGGCAATCAAATGGTATCATGGGAGCATGGAGGCATGTGGGCATGGGAGCATGACCAACGTTAGCCAACTCTTTAAACAAACGAGTGCAAAACGGCAGAGGCAGGAGGACGTGCTGCAGCACACACAGAGGCATGTTGCAAGGAAGGGTGGGAATGTGGTAGACGGCTGGCTCCTTGAGCTGAGGCTGCATGCCACTGTTGTAAGGCACCTCACAAATTACCCCATGCCTCACCTTAAGCCGTGGTGCAAGTCAGAGGAAGTCGGCCCAAAGAAAATCCAGCCGGTGGGATAGACAGGGTCCGTGAAGGGCGAGTGTTGTGAGGGTTGTGATGCAACCACAAGGCACCTGACTAATCTTCCCATGCCTCACACCTTAAGCCACGGCGCAATGGAAAGGAAGTCGGCACAGAGCGTATCCACCCGGTGGGGCAGGTGGTCGCCGTATAGGGCGACGTTGTGTTGCAGCATGGCCAGGCGCGGAAGACTCATGTCAACGGCCAGCACGTGGGAGCAGCTGGGAGGTAATGAGGGGTTGAAGGGTTGGGGTTGAAGAGTAAAGGGATTCAGGTCGGATGCAGATGTGGAGTCATAGCGTAGAGGGCGAGGTTGTGTTGCAGCAAGGCCAAGCGAGGCATGATCATGTCTATGGCCAGCACGTGGGGGCAGCTGTGAGCGGTTGGGGTCGGGGTTTGGGCGGGTGGGGGTGAGGAGCAGAGAGATGAGCTTAGGGACGTGGTTTGAGTCAAGTCAGAGAGATTTAGGTGGTCCATCTCAGGCTCATGTCAACGGTCAGCACATGGGGCCAGCACATGGGGCCAGCTGAGTGAGAGGGGACGAGGGGTTCAAGGTTGAGGGTGAAGAGAAGAAAGATTCAGTTGGGTGAAAATGTGGAGGCACAGGGGCGAGGTTGTGTGTTGCAGCATGGGTAGGCGAGGCCGGCTCATGTCAATGGCCAGCTCGTGGGGGCAGCTGGGAGCATGAGGAAGGGGGGACGGGAAGTGAGACACGGTGTGATGTGGAAGTGAATAATCTGGAAGCAAATTCTTCGGTTGTGGCATGGATGTCTACAGGCCGGGGAGTAGGTAGAAGCTGTTGGGTGGAGACCTCACACAATGAAGGTACTATGAAGCTGCAGAAGTAACAGTGCAAGCTACCAAAAGAGCCATCACAAAGTCGTATACACCAAATTTGCAAGCTACATGGTCTTGCTCACCCGCCTCTTCCACAATCCATCCACTACTGTGCTGTCAACCCACCCTCGAAGCCCGCCACACGGAATCCATCCACCCCCACCCCTTATCCACACTTGTTGCCCCCGCTCTCCCCCCCTTCGGCACTGGTGGTGTTACTGGGCCACTGAGAAGAGAGCAGGTTATTGGGTTATTGGAGAACTCTAACGAGGGTTACTGGGAGCAGCTTTTTCAATAACTGGGCAGCCACGTCAGCTGACCATAGACTCACAGCTTGGCGAGGTGGATGGTGTTGCCGCCCACCCCACAAAAGGCATCCACCACCACACCTGCTGCACCCGCCACACCTGCTGCACCCGCCACACCTGCTGGAACCCTCATCATGCCTGCAGCACGCTCACAAATCTCTTCGTGTGTTCCATTCCCACACCTCCCTTCGTCCAGAAAACCACTTTTTGGTTCCTCTTCTCCTCCCTGTCTGCCCATCGCCTCACGTTCCCTGTTCACCTTTCCCTCCCCTCCTTCCTTCCCCTCTACCTCCCCCGCTTTTACTTGGACCCCCCTCTTCTCTAGAACCACTTCCTCTGAACTTAGAGGTGCAGAGTGGCCAGCACACGTGGCACCAGCATGCGTGGCAGCACCATCTTCGGCACAAGTGGTGCCTCTATCTCCTGCCAACGTGCCAGCACCACCACCTCCTGCTGACGTGGCAGCATAACCCCCTGCACACGTGGCATCATCACAATCCACTGCAGCAGCGCACATGGCAGCATGGTGGGCGGCAATAGCCTCAGGGGTGACAAGGGGCCACGCGTCAGCATCCAATAGGACGCCCTCGTCGAACCGTGAGAACAGCCCGTACCGCTGCTGCCAGTACTTCTCATACCCCGCTGCTACAGCCTGCTCTGCTACAGCCCCCTCTGCTACAGCCCCCTCTGCTACAGCCTCCTCTGCTACAGCCCCCTCTGCTACAGCCGGCTCAAGTAAGACCTTCTCCGCTTCTGCCTGTGCGGAATATCCCTCTGCAGATACAGCCTGCACTCCTACAGCCTGTTCAGGCGTCCATCCCACCCAGCATGCGAGCCCACACCCCTCGCCGTGGTCTGGCGGGTGCCACTGGGTGAGGGCGGCAGCAGCATTGCAGAAGTACACGCCGTGGGACAGCGGCTCCCACACCGCCTGCCATGCTCCCTCCTCCGCCACCACATACGATACCCCTTCTGCTTGCCCTTCCATTGCCTGCCATCCCGCTGTCAGTCCTTCCAGTGATTGCTCTCCCACCTGCTCTCCCCCCACCTGCTCTCCCCCCACCTGCTCTCCCCCCACCTGCTCTCCCCCCACCTGCTCTCCCCCCACCTGCTCTCCCCCCACCTGCTCTCCCCCCACCTGCTCTCCCCTCATCTGCTCTCCCCTCATCTGCTCTCCCCTCATCTGCTCTCCCCTCATCTGCTCTCCCCTCATCTGCTCTCCCCTCATCTGCTCTCCCCCCATCTGCTCTCCCCCCATCTGCTCTCCCCCCATCTGCTCAGCACCACTCTCTGCCACTATTTCACTGACAGCCATTACTTCTGCCTCTGCAGTACCCCGTGCTGCTGTCCCCGTGCCACCCACCACTGCCTCTGCACCGCTCCCGACCACTGCCATTCCTGCAGCACTCTCCGCCGCTGACCCTGTGAGATCCCTTTCATCAGCAGCAGCCTGCCTTGTTGCATCTGCACCACCCTCCACTGCTATCGCTGCACCCACCCCTGCCACGCCCTCCGCACCGCGCTCTACCCCTGCATCTGGAGCGCACTCTGCTGTTGCCTGCCCATCTCCCCTCCTCCTCCCCTGCCTCTTCTTCTTCCCTCCACGAGCCCCACCAGAACCACCACCACCACCACCACCACCACCACCGCCGCCACCATCACCGCCGCTGCCGCCGCCCTGCTGCTCCATCATGGGAACACACGAATACAAACACTTCGACGTTTGTGCTTCGATACGAATTATGGGCATGAGAAAAGGCTTTAAGCTGAGACGTTAGATAAATGCATCCATGTGCATACCCCCCAGCCCTGTTAGCCTTCACCACATGCACTCCATCGAAAAGGAATGGGGGCAAGCAATCGAAAGGCATGTGAAAACAAGTTTGTTTTGACACGTCTCAAAACCAACTTGCTATCACGTAAAAAAAGGGCAATGCAATGGATGGAATGGGTTGCTGCTGCAAAAATAGTACCGCGCGCGCGGAATAGACCGAGGGTATCAGATTCAAGGTGAAGAGGACAAGGGGAGAGCAGCAGAAAGTGAGAGTGCAATCACATGAAGCTCACGCACAGTCACCGCCGTGCTGCCTGCATGGTCCCGATCCCTTACTGAACTGCACTGGCAAGCCAAGGGAACCCATGGCACCACCTGTCACCTATGCTTCCACCAGCCTTTCCCCTTCCACCACTGCTCATTCCACTCTCACCTTAGCATCTTGTGCTGACTGCATGGTCCGCGCCCCTCCGCAGAACTGCACTGGCAGGCCAAGAGCAGCCATGGCGCCTGCCAGCTCCGAATCCCCACGCACCTTACCTTTCCCACTCGCCATACCTTCCTCACTTACCTTACCTTCCCACTCACCTTAACTTCCTGTGCTGACTGCACAGTCCGCGCCCCTCCGCTGAACTGCACTGGCAAGCCAAGAGCACTCATAGCGCCTGCCATCTCCTCATCCTCACGCGCTCCACCTTCCACCTCTTCATCCTCGCGCCCTTCACCTGCCACCCACCCGCTGCTTTCCAAACCCCGCTCCCCTCCATCACCCCCTTCAGCCCTCCTGTCCCGTTCGGCCTTTTCCATTGCCGTGCGCCCCTCCCCTCCCCTCCATGGCACCACCTGCACCTTGCTGCACTGCAGCTCGTTGCATGAAGGCCGGCGCCTGGCACGATCGTCACTGGGAGACAAGGCCAGGGGAGGGGGAATAAGGGAGGGTCCCGGGAGAGGGAGAGGGGAGTTGGAGGTACGGGTTGGGGGCGGGGCGGGGCGGGGAGAAAGTGGTGGGATTTGGAGGTGTGCGGGGGGAACGAGGGGGAGACTGGGGAAGGGCGACCTTTGCCTGCCCTCCACCTGCACCTTGCTGCACTGCAGCTCGTTGCATGAGGGCCGGCGTCTGGCACGGCCGCACTGGGAGAGAAGATAAGTACTGTGAACGTGGATGGGGGAGGGGGGAGGGAGAGTATAGGTGAGGGTCCGGTGAGAGGGATGGGGGAGTTCTAGGTATGAAAGGGGAAGGGAGAGTGGGGGAAGGGTGATCTTCGCCTTGCCTCCACCCCCCTGCCTGCACCTTGCTGCACTACTGCTCATTGCATAAGGCCCAGCGCCCAACTGTCATTGCAAGAGAATGGGGGGGGTTGGGATGGGGGATAAGGGAAAGCGGATGGGAATGGCAGGTGGGGGATGGCAGATAGGGGAGGGATGGCAGATAGGGGAGGAATGGCAGATAGGGGAGGGATGGCAGATAGGGGAGGGATGGCGGATAGGGGAGGGATGGCGGATAGGGGAGGGATGGCGGATAGGGGAGGATAGGGGATGGCAAATAGAGGATGGCGGATGGGGGATGGGGGACGACGGATGGGGGGATGGCAGATGGGGGATGGGATATGGCGGATGGGTGATGGGGATGGCGGATGCAGGAGAGGGGTTGCAGTCAGAGGGAAGGGGGTAATGAAGGTGGGTGTGTGGATGGAAGGGGGGGAGGTGGGGAGTGGGAGAATAATGGGTGTGGAAGGAGGGGGAGGGGAAGGGGGGGAGGGGAGGGTGGGGAGGTGGGAAGTGGAAAGAGGGAGTGGCTATCTTGCGGTGGCTCGCTGCTCTGTGAGTGACGACGCCTGGCGAGCGAGACGAGCACTGCGCCGGTGAGTACTGCGAGTGGTGTGCTTGACTCCGTGATCACTGCGCACAGTGCTGCTGCATGGAGGGAGAGGAGGAGAGTGCGGAACAGCAGCAGGGGGTGTTGCAAGGCAGGCAGCGGCAGGGAGGAGCAGCGAAGGGCAAGATGCGTTACACAACCGTTCGGGTTGCGCGTTACCGCCGAGACGACTGGCATTGAGGCGATTCAAAGATGACTTTGGGTCGACAAAGTAAGACACCTTAGTTGCTTGCGCTGCGCTCACACCGTCGGTGTACCCATTAACGGTGGCGGCCGGCATCGAGCGACTTGCCATACAACGATCGTTACTAGTATTACAAGAGGAACACTCCTTAGCGGAACACTCACTACAAGAACACGTTGACGACGGCGAAGCTCCACCGCGATCGCCTGGCTTCTTGCGGCTCCAACGGGGCGAGAGAAGGGCTTTCCGGCTGCGGTGAGCGAGGCGCCGCTGGGTCCAGCGGAAATACACTTGTTTGCTCCCCTGACACACTGGTTTCCGTGGCTGTGCATGGCTCGACCATGCCCGAAAACGAACGGCTGATCACGGAAAGAAGCGGCTGCGGGGGCTCCGATGAAGTCGCTCTTTATTTGCCGTCGTGAGACTGCTGACGACCCAGGGTCAACTGTAAAGACTCGGGGAGATACACAACCAGCATTGGATTAGGATAGCAATTGCGAATACATTGCGATTAAAGCGACCGTATACATCGCCGCGTTGGCTGGGCGGTAAAGGGAACTCTAACCACGTCTCCGAGTTCAAAGTAGGCTAACTCGCAGGTGTGTGTATCTTGTAATCATCATGGGCCCCGCCCCGCCCCGGTCAGTGCGCACAAGGAGGAATGTGGTGACAAACAACGACAAGGGCATGTCGTGACACGGGCCTTGTCGTGATTCATGAAAGGCCCAAGGCATCGCTAGTCACGAGGCCCCAGTTGGCGCCTTGTGAGAGGGTTGGATGTTCAATCATGCGTTGCCCCCTCGCCGCGCCTTCATTCACTCGTACCGCTTCCCATAGCACCGCGCGCCACACCTAAGCTCGTCGCGACAAGCCTTCCACTCCCACTACCACTCCTCTCCCTCACACACAAGTGTCACCCGCTCCCTCTGCTGCTTGGTGGGCCCGCCTTGTCACATTTGGCGAGCCCATTCACCGGTTCGGCGGGCCCACGTTGTCAGATTTGGCAGGCCCATTCACCCGTTTGGTGGGCCCACGTTGTCAGATTTGGCAGGCCCATTCACCCGTTTGGTGGGCCCACGTTGTCAGATTTGGCAGGCCCATTCACCCGTTTGGTTGGCCCACATTCGCCGGGTTGGTAATGGCAGGGAGGCTCTGGGCTGTCTCACCTCGTGCAGGGGGGGCAGGAAGGCTGAGGCAGCGGGGGAAGTGCGGGATTGGATGGGCGTGATGGGAAGGAAGGTAATGGCAGGGGGGCTCTGGGCTGTCTCACCTTGTGCAGGGAGGCAAGACTCCAAACGTGTGCGCCTCAAATACGCCGGGCCCCACCCTGCCCTCACCCGCACTCCTCGCCGCGGAGTGGCGCTGGATATAAGGCCATGAAACGGGGGGACGGGGAGGGACCAGTAGGGAATAGGGAGGAAGAGGGGGGAAGGGGTGGGTAGGGGATGGATGAGGAAGCAATGGCATTGAAAAGGAGGGGAGGGTAGGGTGCGGGTGGTAAGGGGAGGAAAAGGCCGCGGAGGAAGGGAGGCAGGAGCGGAAATTAGGATGCAAGGAGGGGATATGGGGGTGGCTTGAAGTGAAAACGGGGAGGCGGGAAGGGGAAATGGGGAGGCGGGAAGGGGAAATGGGGAGGCAGGAAGGGGAAATGGGGAGGCAGGAAGGGGAAATGGGGAGGCAGGAAGGGGAAAGGGGACGCGGCTGTCGCGATCTCACATTCGGCTGCGGCGGCTAGTGCGAAAACGGGGTCGTAGCGAGGTTTCGCGAGCGGGCGGCGAATCTGAACGTGCGAGAGCACGCTAAAGCGCAGCGGTGTGAGGCGCGGTGAGTGTGTTCACGGTGGCGTGAGGAGGCAGCGTGGGGAGGCGCGGCGAGGCCATGAGCAGGGGCTTGACAGCGGCGGGGGCTATTTGCGGCGATGCAAAGGAAGGCGAGGCGAGACAGCGGGGGGAGGCGACGGGGCAGACCGCTCGGAAAAGCGCGGTGAGGCCGCGAGGAGAGGCGAGGTGAAGGCCGCGGCGGAGGCGAGGTGAGGCAGCGGCGGAGGCGTGATAGAAGTAAGCATTCGGCGGGATCGCCGATCGAAAGCGTGTTCGCAACCCTAAAGATGGCGGACCGGCGTATGAACGAAACCTACGATTGGCACAACAGTGCGGGGTTGACTAGTGGACACGGACGGAGTATGTCGCGCGAGATGCGCGAGTGGGCTACGTCAAATCTATACGTTTTGACATTCTACTGGTGTTACGGGTTCTAAGAGTGCGCGGAAGACTTTATAAAAATGATTAGTTTCAGAATCAGGATAGAATGAACAAAGCAAGCATCTATAGGGCGATGTTACGAGTGCAATCGAGTGAGCGAGCGAGGATTGCACTATCGAAGCAAGAGTACAATGAGCGAAGGCATGAGCGAAGAATATATAGCGAAACTACAGTGGTAACGGTAATTTGTGGAAAATGGGGTGCGCGACGGGCCTAGCGCCGAGGTTGGGAAATGTCGAGGCGGAGGTCCGGAGCGCGGGTTACCAACCGAACCGTGAGGTTGGGTCGCGTCGTGAACCGTGGCGGGAACAGTGTCGAGGCGGGTGTCGCGAGTGGTAACAGATTACTGTTGGGTGCTGTTGGCGGGAACAGTGGTGTACGCCAGGGTTCTCGTTATCAGACCAATTTGGTCTGATGGTCTGAGTTTAAGACTTGATTTTTTGTATTCATCTGCTTCCTAAGACTCTGTGTTTTTTCTCATCTGATCAGTAAGACAAGCGTTTTAGGTTCATATGATTTTCCAGACCATGTAGAATTCTTAATATGAATATACAGATATCGAGTTCGGTTTCGTCTGAAACCGACATCTTGACCCACTAGGCCATATGCGCAGTAGACCACATGATAGGACCACAGGTACAGCCATTTGCTGCCCTGTAACTGCACGCATTCAATACGCGTGTCATATTGCAGCCTCGCTGTCATGTAACTGCGGCATATGCTGCCAGGAGTTTGTCGTGTGGCTGGCTGTCGGCGCCGACGCCAGCCACAGCCACGGCAACGCGTTGTCTAGTTGTGCCAGCGCAGTTGCATTTCCTAGACGTCACGCAACATTGCGCTGTGGTCGTAGTGCCCCCCGCTCCCAACACGCAGCGCCTTTCGGTTCTCAATGCACTGCACGGTGATGGGGTTTCATGCAGCTGGGTGAGGCTTGAAAACAAGCCTGTTTCTCCTGCTCGTCCTCAACTCTCACTCAGCCGAGCATGGACCGTATCCCTCCCAGCGTCTGATTTCCCAGCGTTTAGAATATGGCCGTCCCCGCCGGCGTACCATACGATGCGGAGCCCGTGCTTACGGCGTTAGATTTCCTAACGCGGGGCAAGCAGATCGCTTCTATTGCCCCACCGATTGCGTCGACCTCGGCTGCGGTTCCTTTGCCCGAAGGCGATGCTCCAATCTCGGTAAATGGCGATCATTCCGTGCCAGCAACCGCTACCCCTACTACGCTAGTATCCACTAGCATGCCAGACAACGGTGCCGATAAGAGCATCCCTGCAGTATCTGTCGCTACCACCTCTCTCAGTGCTAACCCCGTCTTGCCCGACAGATCAGTAAAGAAGCGGTATAAGCAGCAGGTTCTCACCGTCGAACGTCCGGGCGGTCCGACACAGCCAGCACCATCAGTGCATGTGCGACCCGCAGCGCCTGAACCCGCGAATGAAGACTTCGAAGATCCTAAAGGCAAGCAACTGTCGGTTGAGGAGCTTCAGTTGAAGTGCAAGGAGCAGTGGCAACGGTATTTTCCTTGGCTTCTCATCTCCGAAAACAAGGACGGCCGGCCCTGCATGCGCTGCAGCGTTTGCATGGTCTTCGGAGACCCCAACTACAAATACGGGCGCAACAGCGATGGTGGCATCGACATTCAGAAGCAGACGATGCGCAAGCATCACCACAGTCTGAAACATGAGGCCGCGGTCTTGAGGAAGGAGGAGCGCGACGGAGTGAAGAAAGTGCAGAAGTCCATTGCTGACTTCCACCGAGGGGACGCTGATGTCAAGCGTATTGCTCGCTTGATGGCTATAGTGTTATTCATTTGCAAGTCTGACGCTCCCATTGTGCTATTCGTGGCTTTGGTTCAGTTCATGGCAGAGCAGGGGACTCCGGATCTGCCCCTGAAGGAGAACGGGACGTACTACAGCGAGTAAGTGTCCCGTTCGTAACTTATGTTTTGTGTTCCGTGTGTTTACAATACTAACGAGTTTTAACCCCGCTTGTCTCAGGTACGGCTTCGCACAACTGGTCGAGACGATGGTGTGCTACCTGAAGTCCCGCCCGCTGAAACACATCCGCGAGAGTCCGTACCTTGGCATCCAGTTGGACGAGAGCACCGACCGACGGCGGGGGAAACACATGATCGTCTATATGACGTTCATGCGGGACAACGCTCCCGTCACCGAGTTCTTCGCCTTGCTCACTGTGGATCAGTGTGACGCCGCGTCACTCACTATAGTTCTCCTGATGGTGCTTCTGTCATGCTTGGACAGCACAACGGAGTCACCGCGCGCCTCAAAGCCAAGGTTCCTCATCTTGTGTCGTCCCACTGCATCGCGCACAGGCAAGTTTGTAGCTTCATGTTTTCATAATAATTGTTTTTAATACTTGCTAATGTCTCGTTCCGATGTCTTGCAGGGAGGCCTTGGCGGCCAAGGATGCTGCCACCAAGCATCCGGACTTCAACATCGTGGACAAGGTGGTCCGTGCCGTAGCAGAGAACCTTGGTCGCTCCTCTGTTAATCACTCCCGTTTTCAAGAGCTTCAGGAGGTCATTTGCGAGACCCACCTCGAAGTCCAAGGCATCAAGGACGTCCGATGGTTGTCTCGTGGTGACGCCATCCAGCGCCTGGTGAAAGTGTTTCCTGCAGCAGTGATGGTCTTGCACGAGACAAACCAGAAGATGTATCAAGTCGTTACGAGCTACAAATTCCATTTCTTGCTGTTTTTCCTTGCTGATGTCGTGAAGGAGCTCAACCTTTTCAGCTTGAAGTTCCAGCAACGGCAGGTGAGCATGTTTCTCGACTTACTGTTTGTTGTTTTACTATACTGTTAATAACATCCTGCTGTTGCAACCCCGTATACAGGTCGACGCAACCCATGTGCGGCCGATGGTGCACAACACCACCTTACTGCTGCGCACACGTTACCTCGACAGCGATGACGAGACTTTCGGCCAGGGTGGAGACGCGTTGGGCCCATTCCTCGACAAGCACGCATCAGGGGAGTTCCGTGAGGTCCTCGTTGCTGGCACAGCTTCCGACGGCACATCGGTCAGCCATCGATACCGACTGCACGAGGAGAAAATCAAGGGGCAGAAAAGTGGTGTGGACCACCAAGCGTGTTTGGGGCTGGCGCGCGAGTTCATCACGACCTTGGTTGGTCGGCTCGACTACCGCCTCAAGGACCTTTCACACCTCGACGGGGCGAAGCTGTTCAAGCAGGGATTGTATCCCAAGAACCAGGCAAAGCGTGAGCGCAGGCTAGGCCAATGGCTCCAGTCTCTGCGCAACATGTTCAAGAAGAGGCCAGAAGACCCTGATACTCTACCAGGTGCGTTAACTGCCGGGGATGTGCTGCTATAGTGTTTAGTATTGTCTTTCAGCTGCTTGTTTCAACCCTTTCTGATCTCCTTTCTCACTGTCCCCATGCGCACCCCAACCGCAGGCATCAACTGTCAAACATATATGACATAGTATGTATAGGCTGTAGTGGGGTAGACTATATGGGGTACAACTCTGCTAGGTTCCTACTTGTACCCATCTCCTTGCTAGTTCAGTCATTCCTTGTCCTCTACTCTTCACATGGTTTCAGAGCAGGTTCCCTAGGGGGACCGTTTTTTTAGGGCCCACCACGAACATTTTTTTGTGCCCTGCCCGAATTGCACTGTCGTGCCTGCCTACCCTGCCACGCGCCTTGCGCCTGCCTACCCGCGCCCTCGAGCGCCTGCCTACACACGCCCTCGAGCGCCTGCCTATCCGCGCCCTCGAGCGCCTGCCTGCCCGCGCCCTCGAGCGCCTACCTACCCGCGCCCTTGTGCGCCTGCCTACCCGCGCCCTCGAGCGCCACCCTGCCGCCCTGCCCTGCAGGCAGCGCGCGGGCCTGCCCTGCACCCGCGCAGCCGCCCCTGGACCCCGCGGCGCGGCCCCTGGACCCCGCGACGCGTCGCCCTGCTCGTCGCGACGCCTCTGCGGGACCCGGGCGTCGCCCCTGCCTCGTCGCTACGCCCCTGCGAGACCCGCGCGTCGCCCCCTGCCTCTTCGCGACGCCCTTGCGGGACCCGCGCGTCGCCCCCTGCCTCTTCGCGACGCCCTTGCGGGACCCGCTCGTCCCCCCCGCCTCGTCGCGACGCCCCTGCGGGACCCGCGAGGCGCGGCTCCTGCGCGTCGCGCCGCCCCAGCGGGACCCGGGCGTCGCCCCCGCTCGTCGCGACGCCCCTGCGGGGCCCGCGCGGCGTCGCCCCTGCCCGTCGCGTCGCCCTGCCCTACCCCGTGCCCGCCCTTTGGACGGCCGCCCCTGCCTCGCCCTGCAGCAGCTGCCTTCGCGGCCCTGCCCCACCCTGCAGCAGCTGCCGTCGCGGACTGCCCCGCCCTGCAGCAGCTGCCGTCGCGGTCTGCCCCGCCCTGCAGCAGCTGCCGTCGCGGACTGCCCCGCCCTGCAGCAGCTGCCGTCGCGGCCCCGCCCCACCCTACAGCAGCGGCCGTCGCGGCCCTGTCCCTGCCCTGCACCAGCTGCCGTCGCGGCCCGGTCCCGCCCTGCAGCAACTGCCGCGGAGCCCCTAGCCGCAGTCGTCGCCCCGCTCTGCAGCAACTGCCGCGGAGCTCCCTGCCGCGGTCGCGGCCCCGCCCTGCCGCTGTAGCGGCACCGCAGTCGCCTCCGTCGTGCGCCTGCCCTTCCCACCACTGGTGAGCACTGCCCTGCCCGCGCTGCTACCGCTACTACCGCTGCTACTGCTGTTACTGCTGCTGCTACTGCTACTGCTGCTCCTGCTTCTACTGCTTCTACTCCTGCTCCTGGCGTGGCCAGATGCAGCTCCAGGGCCGTCCGCGTGTGCCCCTCACGCCCCAGCAGCTTCGTGAGTGGTACGCCAGTTGGGGTTGTCGGGGTGGCAGTAGTGGGAGTCGTCCTGGAGTGGGTAGTTCGGGAGCTTCTTGTAGTGGCCCGGTGCAGCAGCAGCGTCGTCCACGCGAGACTCGTTCGCCCCAGCAGCTTCGTGAGTGGTATGCTCAGAGTAGAGGGTCGCTGAGTACTGCTCGCTGCCCGTACGTTATTCGCACGGGTGTCCGGACTGGTCAGCCTTGCGGGACGCCTGGTCACACAGAGTCCCGCTGCTTCGCCCGTCTGAGCGATGCTTGGCGTACAGAGTTTGGCGACGACGCTGAGCTCCCCGACTGGGTGGAGCTGCTTAGGCAGAGGGTAGATATCTTTGCTCTTGACTATGATGCTATTCTCACTGCAATGTATGCATTGTCTACTAGTGCCGAGGGAGCTTGTCACCTGTGTGTGCCGCCTGACCCCGGTATCCAGTCTGCTGCTCTAGGTGCTGGTGAGTCTGCTGCTCCAGGTGCCGGTGAGGCTGCTGCTCTAGGTGCTCGTGCGTCTCCTGCTCCAGGTGCTGGTGAGGCTACTACTCTAGGCGATGGTGAGTCTACTGCTCCGGGTGCTAGTGAGTCTGCTCTCTCTGGTGCTGCGCCTGCTACGGTCTTGCACACCTTCACCCTTGACTCGGGTGCTTCCCGTTCCTTCTTTCGAGACCGCACCACCCTCACGCCGCTTAGTTGGCCGGTTGCAGTCTCCCTGGCAGGCCCCTCTGGGGGTCCTGTCCTTGCCCACTACTCCACTGTCCTACCGTGTCCGGCAGCCCCGTCTGGCTCCCTGTCAGGTCTTTACCTCCCCTCGTTCTCTACGAACTTGGTGAGTGGTGCTGACCTGCAGGATGGGGGAGTTGACCAGTTCACTCCTGCGAGTCAGCGGGTGACCCACTGCACGTGTGCTCGGACGGGCCGACACTTGGCCACGTTTACCCATCAGCCGGGGTCGAGCCTGTACACACTGACTACTGAGTCTCCTCCGGTTCCTGCGTCTGGTCAGGTAGCTGCGTCGGGTCAGGTGTTTGCTGCAGCGTCCAGGTCTGGTCCTGAGTCTGCCCCCTGCTCGTGTCGCCTCCTGTCCCACCAGACCCTCCTCTGGCACCACCGCCTTGGTCACCCCTCCCTGCCTCGTCTCCGAGGCATGGCCTCCCGTGTCCTTGTCTCTGGTCTCCCCAGGTCCCTCCCTCCCCTTCCTCCGGGGCCTGCCCCTACCTGCGTTCCCTGCGTCGAGGGACGGCAGCGCGCCGCTCCTCACTCCTCCGAGTTTCCGCCGACAGAGGCTCCGCTGCAGACTCTTCACATGGACGTGTGGGGCCCAGCCCGCGTCCGTGGACAGGGTCACGAGCGTTACTTCCTGCTGGTGGTTGACGACTACTCGCGTTACACCACAGTCTTCCCCTTGCGCCGCAAGGGTGAGGTCACTGAGGTGTTGATCGACTGGATCCGCGCTGCTCGTCTCCAGCTCTGAGAGAGTTTCGGCTCGGACTTTCCTGTTCTGCGTCTGCACTCCGACAGAGGTGGAGAGTTTTCCTCCGACCTTCTACGAGCCTTCTGTCGTGCGGAGGGCATCCGCCAGACGTTCACGCTTCCGGCCTCTCCACAGCAAAATGGGATTGCTGAGCGCCGCATTGGCATGGTCATGGACGTCGCTTGTACGTCCATGATCCATGCGGCTGCTCCCCATTTTCTGTGGCCGTTCGCGGTTCAGTACGCGGCGCATCAAATCAACCTTCAGCCCCGGGTCTCCATGCCGGAGACCTCCCCTTCTCTGCGGTGGACGGGGAAGGTTGGCAATGCGTCTGCGTTCCGTGTCTGGGGATCTCGAGCTTTCGTCCGCGACTTGTCTGCGGACAAGCTGTCCTCCCGTGCTGTTCCCTGCGTCTTCCTTGGCTTTCCCCCTAACGCGCCTGGTTGGCAGTTTTACCACCCCACCTCGCGCTGGTGGAGCTGGTGGTGCTACCGGTGCTGGAGGTTCTGCGGCTGCTGGGGGTTCTGGAGCCACGGGTCCCGGAGGTGCTCGTACTGGCGGTACTGGAGCTGCTGGGCCTGGTGGTGCTACTGGTGCTGGAGCTGCTAGCGGTGCTAAAGCTGGCGGTGCTGCTGGCGTAGGTGCTGCTGGAGGTGCTACTGGAGCTGGAGCTCCTGGAGGTGCTGGAGCTGGGGGTGCTGCTGCAGGCGCTGGAGGTCCTTCTGCTACTGGTGCTGGAGCTGGCGGTGCTGCTGGAGTGGGTGCTGCTGGAGGTACTTGAGCCGGAGCTGCTGCGTCTTCCGGTGGTCCTGCTGGAGCTGGAGCTGTTGGCGCCACTGGAGCAGCTGGTGGTGCCGCGGGTGCTGGTGGAGCTGCTGGAGTTGGAGCTGACGGGGTGCTGGTACTGTCCCTGCTGGTTCTGGGGGTGCTGCGCGGCCGCGGCCGTACTTCGTTCCGCTCCTTCAGCAGGTTCTTGGTCTCCCGCCTTCTACTGGTCCTGCTCCTTCCTTAGAGTGTCCACAGCCTGTCCAGTCCGAGTCACAGTTACAGCCGGCCTCCCCACTGCCTGCTCCTTCTCCCTACACTGGTCCTACTGGAGGTCTTACTGAGCGTCGTGAGCCTGAGTCTCGTCCTGCGTCGCCTGTTCGTGCTGCTCGCACTGGTCGTCGTGTTCCGCGTCAGCGTCCTCCTGTGGTCCCAAGCACGCACCAGATGGCACTGCGTCCTTCCACTGCTCCACTGTGTGCCCCTTTGCCGTCTCCTCCTGCGTCCTCTCTTCCTGTTCTTGTTGACCCGAAGTCTGACTCCCTTCGTGCTGCCAGTCCTACTGTGACGCGTCTCCTGGCTACTGTTGTTACTGACCCTTCCTTTGAGTCCACTGCTGCGTCTGCCTTAGTTGCTGAGCTTGTCGACTTCGCTGCTCACTGTCGTCTAGACTACGCTGCTAGTCTTGTTGCTGAGTCTGTGTCTGTCTGTCCTCCGTCCGTCGGGGGTGAGTGTGCTCTTAGCACGGACGTTCTTGAGTACAGGCAGGAGGAGTTCCAGTGTTTTGCTGCTGCTTTACCTCATCTCGTGTCCATGCTGCTTGCCCCTGAGGGAGACCCGGATGCACCAGACATCCCGACCCCCCGCTCTTACGCAGAGGCGATAGAGGGTCCCTACTCTTCTCAGTGGCAGACAGCCATGGACGTAGAGATGGCTTCTTGGAAGTCCACAGGCACCTACGTTGACGAGGTTCCCCCTCCTGGGGCGAACATCGTCAGTGGCATGTGGATTTACAGGGTGAAGCGGCCGCCGGGTTCTCCGCCTGTCTTCAAGGCGCGTTACGTGGCTCGAGGCTTCAGTTAGCGGCAGGGAGTTGACTACTTTCAGACCTTCTCTCCCACCCCGAAGATGACCACTCTTCGGGTGCTGCTGCACATAGCCGCTCAGCGCGACTACGAGCTTCACTCTCTTGACTTCAGCACTGCTTTCCTACAGGGCAGCCTGCACGAGGAGATCTGGCTGCGCCGCCCACCTGGCTTCA